ATACAAAGTCAACTACTGCTTCCGTACGCTACCCCTCCAAAAATCAATTTTTGCTCGAAGACCGAACTGCGACGGAGTTTAGTTACCAGTCTTATGCTGCGTGTTGTTAGATAGAACGCATGATATGATTGGCTCTGTATATCCCATTACGTCAGAGGACATGTCTGCCACATAGGACATAACTGCAAGGGTACACATGTATGTGAACAGTTATCGCCGAATCATAATCTGTCCCAGGCGTTGAGCTGAGTTCAACTTAGCAGGCAAGCCGGCGGTTGTCGGCGATTGTTTGGCGATGAAAATAATTTACGTCAACATCATCTGCGGACGCATTCGATCCATACTTACAGGTGAAATGGTTGAAAATTGTGCCAATTCGATTTGCAGTTCGCACAGATTTGAGTATGTCGGCGATCCATCGTAGATGCGCCGGGGACCCACTGGAACAGATCGCCGAACGTTGCCCACTGACTGGCAACCCTAAAAGATGAAATCCAGAACCGAAAACGGAATCCAGAATCCGGAAACAAGAATCCGGAACCCGAAATCTGGAAGCCGGAATCCAGATATTATGGGTGACAATAAAAATAATTCACTTTAGAAATGTCTAATAAATAAATATAAGGAAAAATTGTTTTGTTGTTATTTATTTTCTAGCTTTCCTTGCTTTGCTTCAACCACGAACCCTAGTCCTAACCCTAAGTGACGAATTCATTAAATAAATAAATAAATAAATAAATAATTAAAATAAATAAATAAATAAATAAACTGTAATTGTTTCGAACAACCCCTTGCTGTACATCTGGTTCAGGTTGTTCGTAGGCCGGATAACGCTATCCAGCGGATAAGTGTAACAAAACAAACCACGCTATCCACTAGATTGTGATTTATCCGGTAGATAGCGCTATCCACCTTTGGAACAACCGGGGCCTTGCCCGGGTTGTTCGAAAGGTGGATAAAGCTATCCATTGGGTAACTCACTATCCAATCAGGTTTAGTGATTTTTTGGGTGGATACCCATAGCTTGCAAGCAGGTTCTAGTGTCTGGGTTTCCCACTCAGGCGCTGCATGCTTTCCTGCTTATTGCTTTGGCATGTGAGCGAGTTTCTTCTCGCAGCTTCGCCGCTCGCGCCGCCGGCCCAAACACGAGAGCTTGCTCGCAGGCTAAGTTACCCACCTTTTGTTCAACCTGGCCCTGGTGAGAGCGCAGTTCTTGTCTAGATCAAATTTCTCTGAGAAGACTGATGAGTAGCACAACAGCAACAAGCTATTTCGGTTAGTTTCTGGCAATCTTTTAGCACCTTTAAGAAAGAGGTGGTCTGACCCGTTCGCAAGCGAGAAGCTGACGGGAGTAAGTGTGCAACATTTCAATAAGTTGTTTTAATATGATGGCCGACAAGAATATGCAGTGGTGATATGCAACAGTATCAGAGTGGAAATAGCGTTTATGTGGAATTAGTCTCGTATCTGTTGAGAAAAACAAATTTATTTAGATGAGCCAGGTCAGCCTTTGGACATCCAAAGTGGGTTGCGTGGACGGTTGCGTGACCGTCGATGTACAGGGGGCTGCCACACCCTGTTCTCTATGACGTTTTCTGTCTTGGTCAGTATCTACTAGAGATAAAAGGCCAAATTTATACCTCCGGTAAACTGCAGGTCACTTATTAAACAAAAAAGCAATTACCTGCAAGGTTATTTTAAGAGGAACTGGGTCGAGCATGGCGAGAGCGTAGGCGTGTTCTTGCTAGCTCCGTTAGAAAAGTTTTGTATATGGCCTTAGTTACATGGCACAGAAGGTAGAAAAGTTTAAACGAAAGACCCATATAGAAAGAACTGGACCGGCTTGGAGAAGTGAGTCAATATCGTCTGAAGAAGATTCCCTTTCCCCGCTGGAAAAGAAAATCAAATCAAAAGACCACATGGAGTCGGAGTCGGGAAGCGAAACCGATGATGTTGTCGCGACGCTTGAGGTGGTTAAAAAAGTAATGCCTGAGATTGAATTAGTTTTAGAGAAACTTGATAAGATGGAAAAGAAACTGGACAATCTCGAAAGCTACGTGAAAGTTGTCGACCTAAAGGTTAATCGACTGCAAGAGAAGGTCGAACGCTTTGAATCGTTTAGCAAAGACGCTGCATCATCATTAAAGGTGTGCACCACAGAGGAGAACGCCACAGTGGTATTAGTTGGATTTATGCAGAATGAGCTGGATATCAGTGAGGCGGATACCATTGAGTTTCAAAGAATTCATCGCATCGGGAGGGTCAAACCCTCACAAGATAAGCCAAGACCGATCATCGCTCGGTTTCTGCGATATTCTGATAGAGAGTTGGTAATGTCAAGGGTAAAGAAGCTGAAAGGAAAGGGTTTTGGAATATCGGCAGACCTACAAAAAGAAATCGTAAACCGCAGAAAGGAATTGATGCCAAAGTTTAAGAAAGCAAAAGAAGATGGGCGATCAGCGTTCTTTAAGAGTTCAGAGCCGGATAAACTGTACGTTGAGGGAACCCGAGTTTATTAATTTCACCAAGCTTAAAAATATTTAGTTTTTTTCTTTTCTTTTCTCTTCACGAACATGTAACGGCATACATTATTTTTCGTTTTATTTGCTAAAACGGAGCTGCATGTTTGGATTCTAAAATTAACATCATACATGCAAGATTCAGTTCATTAGTAGCACAATTAACAGCCTTCATCGCTGGCTACTGTTTTTTTGAATGTCTTATTGTTGTTGTAAGTGTTATAGTTGTAAAATAGTCTTTTTGTATTTTTTTCAATGTTATTTAGATTGTGTTTTTTCCATATTTTGTACACGTAACATACAAATTATTTTTTAAGTTTTCTGGCTGAAAGTTTTGGCAATTTCTTAATTATGATCAGGAGCCTTTTTCTAACGATTTACGAAATTAATAATGTTCACAAAACTTAATCTAAATTTTGGATTTTTATCGTTAAATGTTCAAGGGATCAGGCCATTTGATAAGCGGAAAGCACTTTTTCATTTGTGTATGAAAGACAAAGCTGATATAATTTTTCTACAAGAAACATATAGCACACCCGAGGTGGAGAATGTTTGGAAGTCCCAGTGAGGGGAGAGCTGTTTTTTAGCCACGGCTCGGAACACAGCAGAGGTGTTTTAACACTTGTCAAGGAAGGACTTGACTGCCAATTGAAGGTGTGTAAACAGGATGAATTGGGTCGTTATGTTATTCTGAAGGGCATTGTGCAAAGTCAACCTTTTATTTTTGTAAATATCTCTGCTCCGAATAAGGTCAACGAGCAATGTGTTTTTTATGATGAAATTCATAATGAGTTTGCTAAAGTGGAAACTGATGCAGACCATCGGATAATAATAGGTGGCGATTTCAATGTTATTTTGAGTCCTGATTTAGATGGATTGGGAGGGAAACCAAAATTAAAAGATAGAAAATCTGTGTTCCTCATTTGATTTGATAGACATTTGGAGAATCAGAAATCCAGGTGCTAAACGTTTCTCTTGGAGACAGAAAAATCCAGCAATTCAACGCC